TTATGCAAAGTTTAATTTTACATTTAAAATCGTGCTCATGGTCTAAATTTCATTGTTGTACATCAAAGGGCAAGAAAGAGAGTCACATGTCAAAATCTAGGCCATATAATATTAAAATTCAATACTGTATCTCAAACTGTGCACATGGTCTACATTTCTTAGCTGTTCATCAAAGGACAAGAAAGAAGGTCACTGTCCCCTTGGACATGGCAGAATTTTGACCCAAGGGTTAAATACAAACAATCTTAATTGCTACAGGTACACCAGACAATATTTCATGTCAAATGTATAAGCTCTATCTTTCTCCTAATTAGAAAAAAACACTTGTTTTAGTTTCTTCTACTATATGTACATAATGAAAATCAATGGCCCTCGGGACTGGTCCAATTTTGACCAAAGGGCTAAAATTTGAAAAGTCTTGGTAGAAGTCATCTCCGCAATGTGTCATGCAAAACATCTTACCTCTAGCCTTTGTCAATTCAATAAAGAAGATTTTTTAGTTTTCAATATATACATATAAGAAAAATCTATGACCCCCGGGACAGGGCCAATTTTGACAACAGAGGCCAAATTTGAACAACATTGGCAGAGGACATATGAATGACATTAGAAACCAAATATAAAAGCTCTAAGCCTTGCACCTTCAGACAAGAAGTCTTTTAAGATTTTACTATATATACATAGTGAAAATCAATGACCCCAAACCGGGGCCAATTTTTACCCCAGATCTATAATTTGAAGGATCATGGTAGAGGTCACCAGACAATGCCTTATGCAAAATATCTTTGCTGTAGACCTTGTGGATCTTTACCAGAAGATTAAAAAAATATTCCTGTAATTCCATTTGGTTGCCATGTCAACAAGATTTCTGCATGGAATCAACTTTGGAAGCCCTTTACCCAAGGATCAATCCTGCCAAGTTTGGTTAAAATTGGACCAGTGATTTTCCACAATCAGATGTTTTAAGTTTACCATATAATCCACACACACGCACGTACGCACTCACACATGCGCGCACACCAACACACAAGAACGCACACACGCACATGTTAATCGATATATGTGTACCGCATCGCAGATGCTGCGGTGGAATACTAACAGTACCAATCACCAACCAGTTTTGACACCTTCCAGGAGCATTGATAGATTACTGCTGTGTCTGTGGTAAATTAAATTTTTGAACAGTTGCCTTATCTGCCTGTTAGCTTAGATCAACCAATTTAAATGAGCCATAGTGCATCTTAAAATATATATATATTAATAATGAATATTTACATAACATTTGCTGCAAAATGGCTGCATCAAAATTTAATTTTTTCATTATGAACACAACATCATGATAATACAAGGTACAAACTTGGCGACATAATGGCAAAGTTATGGTCATGATATGAAAGAAACCCAGCTGGATAGACAGAGAATCATTCCACTGTAAATACGCACAATTATGATTAAAAAGGTAGGAACTACAGCTATTGGTCAGGTGATAAATAGCTTCAGAACACTTCTTTGGCTTAATATTGGGAACAGTATATTAATCATACATGAATGTCTAAAACTAAAAGAAAAACGGAACAAAATTTTAATTAAGTAAGTTAGGGGTTCTTATTTTCTCTATTTTTGCGTCCTCCACTGCGCCTACAGACCTCAATGCCTCCCTTTTATTTTCAAAATTTTGAAAGAAACAACCATATGGCAATTATCAATTGGGTTTAATATCAAAATAAGAAGCAAATTTGTTAAACATTTATGAATGTGATAATACTTTTTTAAAGTCAAGCTCAATCATAAATACAACACAATAACATCTTTTCTTTAAGTAGAATAATGAAATAAAAGCAAAATTAATGTTTAATGTTAAGCAGAATGAGTGTATGCAGGATTTCAGCATCTAAATCGTTGTGACCTGCCATGTGTCACCCTTAATCTACCTCGAGAGGGGGGGGGGGGGGCTAACTACTATCATGTGTGCCTGCTCATGCTTTGAACTGTCAGATTTATCCAATGGGTCAACCAACATTGTTTGATCTAGAATCTGCTCCTTCATCACCTCGTCATGGGGATAAACTTTTATTATAACCTATTTATTTAGTATAGATGGCTAAATAAACACTCAATAAATCAATACTACGTGCAAGATGTTTCAATAAATACATTTATTTATATTAAAAACAATTTGGAAAACTACCTTATTTAAACTATTAGCAGCAGATGTATAAGCACAATTGGCACCATGAGGAACTATGAGTAAAAGGTTAATAAAAAAGCACAATATAAACAATGCTACAGTACAAGGTTAATTAAATAGCACACAACCATGCTACATAAAAGAAAATTTATCATTTCTGATCATGTTCTTAATTTTTATTGATACCAATATCACTAGCAGTAAAGAATAAATAATAAATTCTGAAAACTGCAACTAATAAACATTTATTATGAATTTATTTATAATATTACAATTTTATAGTATTATAACAAATCAAACCGGAGCTACCAGTGACAGTGATTACGCCTAAAACACGTCTTTGATCGTAACATTTACCATTTAACAGTGATTGTCAAGAATGGTCATTCTATATTTTTTAAAGAAATCATGCCTTAACTTTTATATGTACTTCTCGTATAATTAGTTTTTTAAAATTATTTTATCTCAAACTTTACCAATATTTAAAAGTGAACTTCGATGCAACTGTCCAATTATATTATCAAGTCATATATGGGGCTATACATTTTTAGTTGATCAAACCACATGGAAATTCTAGTTTACCTTTTAATGACACTGACAAAATTAAACAATCGTTAATTGTTGCAATTTAGAAAATATATGGAAATTTTCACAAAATGGGTACCTTTATAACTTAATAGAAATATTTCCCACTATGTAAAATGCATTGGTCATTTTTGATCATTTGTTTTTACATTCAGGCTTCTAAACGCATTAAAAATAGTACATAAAATGTAGGGTTTCAAATAAATGTAATGTTCATAATTCTTCTCTCTTCCCCTCGGTACGTGTACGTCGTTGAGAAGACACAGAGCATCGGTGGGAGATTTGAAGACTTGGGACGGCGCTAAAGATCGAAACTTTTACTGCGGACCAGCTGCCGATGTCCTGACTAAATCCGAGACGAGTGGCCCTACAAAGTAGGTTTCGGGTCGACGAGGATGGTGTGACAGAGTGCGTGAGCTCCTAGCACTGTTAGACGGCTTAAACGGCAGGCCTTTTGCTGGCACCAATAGCCCTTTTCAGGGCTACCCTTTTATATTGTCTCAGGTTTCTGTACATTATGGTTCTCATTGACCGTCGTACAGTGACCTACTTTTGGCTAAAAATTCATACCTTTGGCTTAGACTCCGTGAAAATTGCATGGAGGTAAATTATCACCACTTTGTGCTTCAAAATTAACTCTTTAAGGCATGAATGGTGACATGTTTAGGGCCCGTACTTGACAGCGAAAGCTGCATTTTGTGCCATTACGGGCGGATGGACCCTCATTAAGCATAGACTACATACATACATAAATGTAAAAAAAACAAACTATTTTAGGTACCAAAATATATCACTACATGTATATAATGCATTGTGGCATCGTAACTAAAAAAATAATAATTGTATTTTTCAAAGTAGATTTTTAAATAGAACTGTGATATTTCCTAGACAGATTTTGTCTTCGATTTCATTTCAATCTAAACTGAGATATAACTTTCAAAAGAACACATTATAAGATTTTGACAAAAAATCGATACAAGTCAAAAATATTTTTCAGAAAAGTTAGCCTAATAAATGTAGATAGAAAATCTTCTTTTCAGCAATGACAATTTTTAATGATGCTTTAAAAAATAATCTGCCTAGTTGTTGATATTTTGATATACATGTATCATTGTTTCCTGTCATTACTTGTCAGTGAAAACATTGCATATTTATAGATGAAAGACATGTGGTGCTGAATGTTTTTCCTTCGACCCGTAAGCATCAAATGAGGAGTACAGTAACAAAGAAGAGGACAAGCACAGCAAAAGAAAACAAAAAACAAAACACACACAACAATAAACGAAAAAGGAAAAATAAACACAACAGCAACCAACAAAAAATAATTAATTAATTAAGCAGAAAGAAAACAACAACAAAAGTCTTATGGCATGCTTGTAATACATTGTAAGCAAACTTTGAATTGACATCGCAAATTGTGTTATCTAAATAACTCATAATAAAATGTCTGGGTACTTTATCGAATACTTTCTAAATAAAGACTGTAAGCAATTTTCAATTTATGGGTTTCTTAGAAACTTTTCATTAATGACGTACTAATGTTCATATAATAATAAAGGAACTGTCTATCTATATAAAAGAAGCAATAATGTAACAATAAAATCCATAAAAGTATGTTTAACTTTAAATCACAATTATCAGCTTCGTTATTTTAACATATCATGAAATATGAGCGTACGGTCACTCCTTATACGCCTCATCTATCGACATGTATTTAAAATCCTTCTCTGACAATGTTTTTTCATAACTATATACTGTACTGTTACAAGAAGAAGAATGGTTGTTTTTAGATGTTTAAAATTGACACTAGGAAAAAATTAAATGCATAAAGTCAATGCAAAGAAATAATATTGGATATTGTTATGTTTTCATGTATATATTTACGTTTAATTTACGTCAATTCAACGTTAAATATCATATTGACGTATAAACATTTATCAGCAACTTTGCAACAATTTGTTTATCAACAATCACTGGAGATAACATTTTAATTAACACTTACATTCCGAAAGAACTAATGGTGCTTCAATTATAAACTCGTGTAAGGTCAAAAAGTTAGGCAGAGAAATTCTCTATATGGAACATAGTAGTGTTTTTTCTGATAGTCAACTATAAAACAGTACCTCAAAAAACGTTTATTCTAGAATCGATTCCTGTCAGTGCAAATATGTGAAGGTTACATATCGTATAAAAATGGAAGGAAATCTCGTGAAGTTGTCAGTATATATCAGAATGATGATGAGATAAGATTGTTGAGAGGAGGTTCTGTCAATAAATTATGACGATACAGAGAAAATGAATTCATGATTCGTTGTTGGCATAATGAAACGGTTAGTCAAATATTTTGTTTAGTTATTAAAACATATATCATACATCAATTTTAACAATTTTGCAATGTTAGTGGAGCAATTATTTCAGTACTTAAACATTAATTTAGAAAAAGTTTAATGTAATTTACAATATTTCTGTTAAGAAACAATAAAACATATTCATGCTATGAAAGTAACGTAAAATTAAAGTTCTTTTACTCCACAATAGATCAAGAGATCTTTAATTCGATTTTCTGATTAATTATACAAAATAAAAGTAAAATTCAAAGACGCTTCTAATTTTACTGATTAAATCAAATAGTATCTTAATCTAAAATTTATCAAATTTAAGAAGCAATTATTCTTGTCAAAATTGAATATTTTAAAAAATCATTGTTGTTTTTCATATATTTGTAAGTAACAAAAATATATTTCATATTTAGACATATTTTTATTATCAGTACTAACGTGTTTGTTTGATAAACCAATCCGTTTATATATATTTGATTATATTAATTTATATATTTTTATGTATATGTATATACGTATATCATGCAGTCTTTTGTGCCAGGTATCGGATTGATATTGACACATCTTGTGATATATATAATTTAGCACTTTGTATTGTTTGAGATATGATATTTAAGAGAACAATGCTGTAAAAACTATGTAACATAGATGTTTCATTATTGGTTTTTTTTAGAAAAGGGTTCATTACGTGCAAGCCTGTACACTGTATATATATTTAATTAAAACAAAAACACTATGTATGAGCTGGTAAAGTGTTGGAAAAATTGTTGCGTTTATTTGCATTTCTGTTTAAGGCTTAAGATTTAATTTTAATTATACGTTTTTATTTAAGCACTTTGCAAAGTTTTTACAAATTGTTCTCCAGTTAACATTTAAATAATTTTTCTATCAGAATTCACTTATTTCCATTATCATTTGCATTATTCATTAATAAAAGAAATGTAAAAAATGCATATAGAAAAATTAACTCATCTTATGATTATTTAATTTGAAGAAACAATTTGATAGTACACATGAACCTTTTTGGGGCGGGGGGGGGGGGGGGCAAGGTATTAACTTAAAAGTATTTCCATTTATTTCAATATCAAAACGAATATTACCAACTTTATTTTTGTTTATTTACTTCCATTTTTATTTTTGTTCTAGTTAATTTATTCTCGGAAAATATTTATATATAAAATTAATCAGTCAAATAAGATAAGTGACTTTGATATAACGTTATTCATATCTATGTATTTTCTAAGTTGAAATCAATTGTCTTTTAGAAGTTGAAATCAACTAAAATGATAATACCACACGCAATATATTTTAGGTCTGAACCTGTAGGAGTCTATGTTAAATAATATTGTCAACGGTCGATGTCAATTTTAACCCCTGGGTCAGGATATTTTTACTTTACAATACTAGACATGAAACATCTAAGCCTTTGGTATTGCAGCTATAGAGGTTTTACAAGTTTATACGCGTCAATGTAAAATCAAGCGACCCTGGGATGGGGCTCATTTTGAGCCACCTGTCATGATCTGAACAAACTTGGTATTAATTTACTACACAATGCTATACACCAAATAATGTTTTTGCTAAATGTAAAATAAAGCGGCCCGGAGCTCCATATAGTATAATTTGAAAAATCTTGGTAAAGGTCTACTATACAATTCTACACAGCAAATATTTGGGTTCTATGTTTTGCAACTATAGAGTAGTTGTAAAAGGTTTTCTTATATGAATCTTCATAAGGAAAATAAGGTAACCTCAGGACGGGGCCAATATGGTTTTGAGAGAAAAAGATTTTTCAAGTTGTTCCTTTATTTCTTTATGAAAAATACCCGAAATTTTCTATTGAATGCAACTCAAAAAATAATTAAGTTTTAAAAAGATCCTGTTCTTTTTCTGATACGAAATCAAACCATTGGTTTTCTAGAACTTTTATCTAATAAGTGTTTATTGGCATTTGGAGTAACATTAATGGAATAAAGTATATTTGATTAAACTGTCAGCTCATAAAATTGTCTGATACCATTTATTAACTGAAAATTATTTTGGATGGTCGTCATTGGCATTTTATAATCTGAAGATTGCACATAAAATACCTTGACAAGTGAAAGTAAAGAATTGCACGGAAAGATTTCTAGGTATGTTTTAACCATTCAATTATGTAAAAAAAAATAATAAAAAAATAAAAAAATATTGAATACACTTGATATAATGCAACTTATATTTGAAGTTACACCTTTGTGGTATAAAACAAACGTTTTTTTATTTTACTTTTAGAAACATCATAGAAGTAAATTGTTCATTATACGACGTCATTTCCTGCATCATCGTCATGCTTCAATGTGTGACATTGACGACTGGTGAAACTTGTACCCGAAGAACAATTGTATTAACAGTACAACGCAGTGATTGTTTTCCTAGAAGACTTCTTGCTGGTGCTTGCCGAGGAACATGCAATTCGTATTCTCGACCTTCCTTAGAATATCCGGGTCAAATGGAAAGCTTTTGTCAGTGTTGTGACGTAGATGAAGTACGTTTGCGAAGCACAAACGTCACTTGTCCGGTGCAAAATCCTCAGCCCGGACAACCGCCTTTCAGAAAAATTCGTGTTTATATGAACCTACCAAGATCCTGTAGGTGCCGGCCATGTTCAGGACAAACCGGCAACGTTATTCCAGCGGAACAGTCTATTTGGAATCAAGGCAAGAGAAACTCAAACACATTTATAAAACGTAGAAACGCTAGTGAGAGTGACCTTGGATACTTAAAAAGCCTTCGGGAGCCTTTTATATTTGTAGAGGATAACTTGTTTAATTTTACATATAAAGAAATAGGCTAATATATTAATATGTCATAACTGACAATCCTTTAGAAGATGTATGTAAATGTGATTCTTGCTGAGAAAGTGTGAATGAAATTAATTCAATGTATAAGATATAAAATGTTGAGAGATTTTATATATATGTATTTTTGTTTTATAAAAAACGTATATCATGTATATTATTATTATTTAATAAATTGTTGACGCATTCCTCTATATTCTTATAAAACATAAATGAAAATAAAGTCGTTACATTGTTACATTCGAAGATTTTATTATTTTTAATCAAGCTTAGCCTCGATTTACTTTGATCAAAACAACGTACCAACGAATGTATTTAAAAGTTGTTTTTTTTTTGTTTACAAATATGCGCCATTATATAACAAGACTTCATTTATCACGACAAGTACATGACGGTCATTTAAAAATACTTGTAACAAATGAAGGAGAAAATAGTCCGTGCACCCCAATAACGAAACATTAGGAATTCATGAAATATACTGAAACTTCATTTAAAAAAAAAAATAAAAAAGAAAAAAAAACACAACAACTATAAATTGTTCCGTTTTGTTTTTTATGGCATGATTTTTCATTCAAATATAGTAAGTGTATACACATTTATTTTAGTTCGATTGTGTTGGAAACTATAAGCTAATTGAAACACTCTCAAATCCGTTCCTGGATTCAACCAGTACCAAGCAATGGATTTAAAATTTTTTGTTCAAGGAAACAACAGTTTGAACCAAAATATAATTATAATAAAAATATAATTTTCAAATATAATTACTTCATGAAAATTGTTAAACGTTTAGTTCAATGATGACCTTTAACTGGAATAACATTTATTCGCGCAGCGTTTTTAAGCCGCTAAGCCCTTGACGCCATCATTTCGGGGTACTTCGTTTCTTTATGAAAACTATCGAATAAATTAATGTACTTTATTCGGTTATAAAGCATACAATAAAAAGAAAATTTGTATATGTTATAGTGAATTATTTCATTATCTCTCATGAAATTGCTACGCATAGTCCCTTAAACAATTTATTTATTTATAATAATATTGAACAGTTAACAAATTTAGCCCCTTTTGACTTTCAAGTAAAATTAAAGTATTGACAAAATACCTTAACATCTATAAATTTGTCTCAGAAATATTATTGTTAAATGCTCGGTCTTCGTGATTGATAAATAGTTGATAAGCAACACAAAGTATTTCTTACTAAAAAGGTTCTTGAAAACTGTATATAAATAATGTTTGAACGTTGCTTTGACGCCCTTAGTGCTTTGTTCTATTTTAATGATAAGATATTCCAATATAGAAAAAATATTAAACTTGGACAGTCTGTGTATAGGTAAAGCATGATGGTGTTTTGGCATAATATGCTGGAACATATCTTGATTGAAAAATCTATTTTCATCAGCTTAATAAAAAGAGTGTGACAATAATCAGAAATATAGAAAAAGCTATAATGCATGTTTTATAAAAGTTGTTTGTACTTAATGGAATGATTATTTATTAAGTCAGTAGATATAAGCGTATTGACATTGTGACACTTTATTGATGTATTCCTAATTTTATTAAAGCACGTATCAATTGTTTCTTCTTTTGATTGAAGCAAGTCATCGAAGAAATAATACGAGTATTGATGGAAAAATGGTTTCCTTTATTCTTGTTTTGCATTGTTTTCCGTTCTTTCAAAGAAGACGAACTTACAAAGTAACGTTTTGACATTATTTATCAAAGATTCATTCATAATACATAAATACACAAGCAATTATCATAGTTTTGCAAGCAATCCATAAGTCCCCAACCGGTTAGAACCCAAGCAACTTTCTGATGGGCCATTGGCCAGTCAATTTTACCAGTGAATGAATGACATAAATGAACTTAAATCTTTTGAGTTCTAAGTTTGTCTATATCACAGTAATGTGTTAAGTTTCCCTGCCTAGTAAGGAAATTATGTTTATACAACCTTGTCATATTATTACGATGTGGGATTTTAAAGTAAATCCTATAAGGAATGAAGAAGTTGGAGTGAATAATACTAATTTCTCGAAAAAAATCTAAGTTCAAGGGGGACATAATTCTGGAAATAGTCTTGCTAGAGTATTTAACCTTCTCAAAAATGTTGAGTGATAATAAGAAAAATATATATGAAGTTTGAAGTAGATACATTAGGAAATAAAGAAGTTATTTAAAAAAGACTACATTTTTTTCATAAGAATTCTAAGTTTAAGGGAGGTAATACTGATAATTGTTGTGCTAGAGTTGTAAACCTTGTAACATATGTGGTTGATGACCAGAAACTTATATTTAAAGTTTGAAGTAAACACCTTAAGAAATAAAGAACTTATAGTGAAAAAATTGAAAAATTTAAATCAGAAATCTTGAAATTCAGGCTATTTGTTGCCATAGCAACCAGAATTTTCAACACAGGAAGAAAAGAAAAAGATGTGCATAATCTCCAGACTGCCATCTACCCATATTTCAAGTTTCTTAAAATATTTTCAGTACTTTTTGAGTTATCACTGGATCCAATTTTTATGTGTTAAATTTGCCATATTTTCAGACTATTTGTTGCCATAGCAACCAGAATTTTCAACATAGGAAGAAAAAAAGACGTGCATAATTTCCATACTGCCATCTATCCATATATCAAGTTTCATAAAAATATTTTCAGTATTTTTTGCGTTATCGCGGGATCCATTTTATGTGTTAAATTTGCCATATTTTCAGACTATTTGTTGCCATAGCAACCAGAATTTTCAACATACGAAGAAAAAAAAAGACGTGCATAATCTCCATACTGCCATCTATCCATATATCAAGTTTCATAAAAATATTTTCAGTACTTTTTGCGTTATAGCGGGATCCAGTTTTGTGGACTGACGGACGGAATGACAGACAGACTGACAGACGGACAGACAGACAGACAGACGGACAGACAGACAGACGGACGGAGGGTAAACCTAAAGTCCCCTCCGGTTCAACCGGTAGGGGACTTATAACAATGATGATAAACAATATACTTTAGTGGTTGGTATATTTGTGAATTTTCAGTGCCTGTTAATTCCGTCCTATAATATTTCGATAAATTTAAAATCAGCTTATACATATACTTACATACTGATCTCTAAAGCAATAAATAACAAACAATTTACATATATGAGATAACTATCTTCTTCTTTACCTCTACAACTGTAAAATATGGTTTGTTGTCTCTGGATTATACGAAATACTCTAAAATAAGAAATGTGTCCATAGGACACGGGTGCCCGTACACTCCACTGTTTTGTCAATCTTATGACTCTAGGTCAAATGTTTTGGGCTACATGTGTGAAAAGTTGAAAACTAAAAATCGTTTACTAAGTTAGGGCAAGAACTTTACAAATACTGAAATTATCCACAAGCAAACCCCAAGGTGCATAAGTACAACTGCTAACCAGCATTCTTGTAAACCTTTTAGGCCTACAGGACAAACACTTTTTGAACTATGCATGAACAAGTTGAAAATTGCAAATCTTTACTAAGTCAAGGGAAATAACTCTAACAAAACTAAAAAAAAAATCAACATGCAAAATACCAGATGCATAGCTTCACAGTGATGTTGATCATTATTCCTGTAAAGCTGGTTGATTCTAGCTCAATCACTTAAGGAACAAATAACACAACATAATGAAACGGTTTTTTAAGTCAAGGGCAAATACTGGATAAATCTACAAGCGAAATCTAACGTGCATAACTACACATGCTGACCAACATTCCTATTAAGTTTCATGTCTCTAGGTTAAATACATTTTGAGCTACGCACAACACAAATTGAAAATTGCAAATTTTCACTTAGTCAAGGGCAAAAACTCTGACAAAACAAAATAAATCAACAAGCGAAACCCAAGGTGCACAACTTCACTTCCTGTAAAGTTTCATGACTAGGTTTAAATTTTTTTTCAGCTTAAAGTAAATTATTAAACGTCGTCCGATGCCATTTAATTGCTATCTTATTCTAAATTTTAATCTAACTAAATAAACGCACTTGCCGCAATTATTAGTTTGCTTTTGAAATATATAACATTTATAAATAAAATTTTCGTGACAGTAAATCAAAACTGACTGTATGTAAAATGTTTGTATTAATCAACACATGTGATTTTAAAGCAATAATATACTGTCAGATTTCTTTCGTTTTGTCATACAGTTTATTTACAGACATCTCTGATCTGTCACGCTTCTATTTCATCAGCTAAAAATGTGTTAAATAATGCAAAACAATTAAACTGCTGATTTGGATGATACGCCTTAAGTTTGCGTAAGCTTCATATCAAACCGCAAATTCATTAAGAGCTATATAATAATATTTTACTTGATTGAAATGCTCAAAGATTTAAAAATTGTCAGGTCGTAAACTTTATACAATCGTTGCAAAGTCACAAAGGTCCTAACTTCTTGGGATTTAGAACCGTTTTTTTGCATAACCACATTTAATCAGCCACAGTATTTTCCTCGGGATGATATTTTTACTGTTACCCACAAACCAAGTGTTATTTATATACTGACCCCTTCTTTCTTTAAATGTATGGTCCGTTTTCGAGAACTTGAATCCATAATATTTTGCTATGCCATGAATAAGAGAGTAAGAACAAAATTATAAATATGACATTTCCATTCTTCTTATGATTTCTGAACCGAACATTCAGTATCACTTTGAGCTATTTGTGAAAAAAAAAACAACATACAGATGTCAATGACTTAAAAAATAATGTGGTATTCACACATTCAAGGTATTAGAGACAACTGTGCTTTCCTCAGCATAACTTGTACTAACAGAAATTAAAAATAGATACAGGCCATGAAAATATTTGTTTAAAATAACTTGATTCAGATAAGTATATATTTAAATGAATACTTGATATTTTCTGATACATTTTATGAATGTTGCAATGCCAACGAAGTCCAATTTTTGTTTGCATAGCTCAGCTAAAGTATCCTTAATGCTCAAATATAAACATTATCTCTTAAACAATAAATTTTATGTTGATACGTATAAAAAAAATCTGTTAACAATAACTTTAACTTCAATGTCTTCATGCAAAATGTTATTAAGATAAGGATGAAAGGGATGAAAATGGTATATGTGCAACAAATGTCCTATCTCCGTGTACACAAAATTCACACAATTCGCAATATTTTTACAAAAACGAATTTTTCTGCA